TTTATTGGTACAACAAAAACATATTTTTTAAATATAAATTTGATTTCATATCTAATGACTTTTAATGTATGTGTCCCCTAATAATTGATTTACTTGTCAACATCGGTAAAATGGGGCGAGGTTGGGGAAAAAAACCTCCCTTCCTCATCAGTTTTTATTCTTTGATAGGGCGATAAACTAATAATTTTTATGGGCCTTATAGGAGTCTCAAAGTGCTTGAATGAGGTGTGGACTAGCTCATACAGTAACTTTCGTCTCCCCTAAGGGTCTTTTTGTCTAACCAGTGAACACCGGGGTAACCCCCTACTCGTCTCAAAGAAAAATGTACTGGGTTCTTTTCAGTGCACACAAGCCAAATTACCTGGGCCTACGGTTTTTAGTCCTTATCCGAGAATATGACTTGTTACACCACCAGAACGGTGTCTATAAAACGAAGACCCAAGACCCAAAAATGAAGACCCCTATTTTTTTTCCCTTTATTTTGATGATAATACGCCAGGCTGTCTCAAAATCACAAATTTTTTTGGTCGTCTGTGAAATTTTAAAGGGTTTTCGTTTAACGAAGACCTCCAATTATTTCTCAGTTATCTTATTTAAGTATTTCAAAATCATCATAAAACAGTTGCCAAGTACCTGGCGTATTATCATAAAAATAAAAGAGAAACAACTGTGTTGGTTGAGGCACTATCAACTCGCCTGGGTCATGCTTGTTGACGGTAATTAGTAGGCTTATAACCGACTCGCCTTGACTAACCCAGAGACTGAGGACTGAACATTATGTCTCATTTGCAAGTCCCGTTTGTTAACCTATTTTGGGTCTAGTCAGTGCCTAGGTTTAGCACTGACTTTAGTCACATTCTACAATAATCAAGCATACTGTACATTTTTAATGGTATTAACTACCTTAATAAACATGAAATAACTGTTTTATTGACCGATTCCAGAATTTTAGTCTCTGGGACATGATCAAACTCTTGATTATTATATTAGGAATTGTTTGAGCTTGCCTATTTTATACAAATACTCAATACTGATTTGTGCCATTTTGCCATGACAAGCCTCATCTGTATTGTGTAAACAGTGATATATGTCTTGTTTGAGGTTGGATATAAATTATATAAAACAGTATTCCAATATATGTCAGTACAGTACAGTTCACAGGCAGAGCTTCTTCTGTTTAAAATTTAGACAGTGGGTGCTGCAGGGTGCAAAATGTGGGCAAAAATTACACTGCCTGCAATCAGTAATGTAAATCTCCAAGAGACAAACCGATATAGAAATAAAATAAGAGAAGCTACAATACAATGTCCATCAGATTCTTTTCTTTCTCATTTGTTTTTCATATACAAATTACTCTTTATTTATGAACCTATAGGCATTTGATCAGACTGTGATGTGAATGCACCAGTCAACTGGTAGAGATCACGAAGAGGAACACTAAATATGAATAAGATATAAATTAAAACCTTAAAAAAAATATTACATACAGTTAATATATAACATAACATTAAAAAAAATATCCACACATACAAAGTATAATGTATTGTGTTTAAAAATTGAAAATATTAAGTCTTTTACAAGTAATACTCTTCACTAAGAAGTTGCACATCTATGGGTATTATTATGGCTATTGTATAATTAAGGGATCTACTGTACTCCAGTTGTTGGCAAATACAATTCTATGGAAAACATAAGATTGTTTTTAACAATTGTGTTATACTTCAGGTAAAGTGTTTGTTTTCATGCAAATTCTATATTCTGTCGAATGACAATGTATTCAATTTGTTTGAAAACGATGCACAACAACACATAGACTACTGTACAACCATAGAGCTATTATATAATACCTCCATTCTACCACCAACAATCAGCAAGTGTAGCATCGTTAATCGCTTGCAGAGACTTCACATTAAAAAAATTTGATTATATAAAATTTATATTGTATAATAATA